AAAATAAAATGATCAGGTGAATAAGATATAGTAACGTGGCTTGGTTTCACTCATACATACACACAGGTTGGTTCACACAGAACCCTTAACTTGAAGCACAGACCCTGAACCTATCAGTTCTGGCTAACCATTCAGACACCTGAACCTATCAGGTTGGTACTGACACACAGTAGTACCCTGTCTGACACACAGACTCCCACACCAGCTTCTTCTTCCCAGCTGCTGCTTCTTCACATCCCAGCGTCTTCACTTCACCACACAGGCTTCACATTTATATACAGTACAGCCCCTCCTCCTGATGTCCCGCCTTCCACTCCCCATAGGATGGAACTTTCCCTCCAAACCCATGACAGACAGGTAACATCAGTGCTGTATGTAACACTCATTTTGCCATGGAAGGCTGAGTCAACCTTGAGCCGGTTATCTCAGCCCACTGGGACTGAACTCATGTCATGAGCAGAGTCTTGACTGCAGTACTTCAGTTTAATCATTTCACCGCTACACCAACACAGGTGTTGCAGCAGTCAATTCCATGAGTCTACTTGAGTTGAGAACCAGCAATATGTTTAGGACTTTGATTGTTTTTTTTTAATGATGTGTTTCACTGTAGTGCTGTTTTGATAGCAGAAGGGCATCGTATAACGTTTCTCCAATAAATCTTAACACAATAAATGATGTAAGATACACTACCGGACTCTCTGCGTTATTCCACAGGACCCGGGACAGCATCTGGAGGAGGCTAGAATTGTCCGCCAGGACCCGGTGCCCCTTCAGTTTCCAAATCTCTGCCAGGCTTTCTCGGAAGCGTTCAAGCCACAGAGAAAAAACTGCAAAAGCAGAGTAAAGGCTCCCTGTCATAAAACTTGTACAAGACAGATTGATAAAAACACGGCATCCAAAGAATTACCATCACTGCTTCCAGTTTGGGAGTGAGTAACTTCAGGTTGTCTGGAACTTCAATACCCGTAATGCTCCGTCATGGCTTACTGCAGGTTATAGAAGCAGCAGGGAATTTCTCCTGGGCCACAAAATCCCATCCCTGAACTAGTTTTATATTCAGTTGCCAAAAAAGGCTAACAGAGGAGAGTTAAGGCTGCCTTATGCGTGTGGAAACTGGAAGCTAAGGCTGATGCCTCAAGAAAAGTGGCCCACAATCAGATGACAATGTTGTGCATTGTCTCCAGCCATCCCCTACATGTCCACTCTCTGGCCGAAATCCTGTTGCAGAGCTACGCAAAAGGCGTAACTTTTGGAAGTGAACTGCCTCGAGTGGAAATCTCCAAGGACGTCATCTGGTACATCATGCAACTTGGTATGCAAGAAATAATCCCTGTGGAGATTTCTTAACTCTAGGCCATTTCCTTACATGATCCAATCTGCTTTACACTGGTGAAACTACACAAGAGGATTTTGGCCTTTGTCTGGGTGGAACTGTAACACTGAAAACTCTGGAGTTTTCTGGCATCAGTCACTCAGTCAGTTAACTAGACATGGGCATGAACTGTGGTTTGGCGCAGCACCCGCACAGGTGTCCTGTGGGCACCATGTGCTTCTCTCCCCCATCTTTCTGGGCAAACACCACTCACCGGCCCTGTCTCCTCTGATCGCCCACTCACCACCAGCAGTGTGTGCTTCCCTTCCCTGCCTCCCCTGGCAGTTGCCCACTCAGACAAGGAGGTGGGGCAAGGAAGCCCATGGCGCTGGCCGTGAGTGGCTGATTGCACAGAGGAAGCAGAGGAGAGAAGAGTGCTGCTGCTAGTGAATGGATGATGGCTGGGGAGGGATGTCTATGGTGCCTGCAGAACACCTGAGTGGGTGGTGCACCGAACTGGGTAGTACTGCGGTTCACGCTCATCTCTACATAAACAAACCAATCCATTCATCTAGGTGTAGCGTCCATTTTTCCCTTCGTCCTTTTATTTTTTTAACTAAAGGACGAAAACATGACAGACGTTTCCCTGACTTGAACTCTTCCTATTTGTTCAGAAGCTGGTATTCCTCAGGGAGCAAAACTGAACTAGGTGTCTTAAGCGTGCGGGGATAAGAACAGAAAGGCCTTGAGAACAGACCTTGAAAACAGTAATAATGACAATCCATTGGCTTTTCCATCAGGTCCAGAACAACTGGAAACAGAATGTCTAGTAACAGACACACCTGCAAAGAAAAAAATATAAGTAATTTCAAGGGAGAAACAGAGGAAGCGGCAAGATTTTCTTAGAAAGGGATGAAAACTTTTCACTGGGCAAAAAAAGACAGAGAAATTGGGGTGGGTGGTTTTCTAACCTTTTGGAATCCTGGTCACAAAACTCTGTGTGAATTAACAGGGAGAAAAGGACATGAAGCAGCTCATGTTTCCACCCTTCTCTCTGTTCTACTATTCACATTGCTTTTTCTTAACATATTTCATGTGCATTCATGCATAAAAGTAAAGGGGTGAGCTATCAATTTCATATAAAAGTGGCAAATTCTCTTAGTCTCAGATGAACAGGCATCATTTGATGGCTGTTGTGGGTTTTTCGGGCTCTTTGGCCGTGTTCTGAAGGTTGTTCTTCCTCTGAAGACGCCGGCCACAGAGACTGGTGAAACGTCAGGAAGAACAACCTTCAGAACAAAGAGCTCGAAAAACCCACAACAACCATCAGATCCTGGCCGTGAAAGCCTTCAAGAAAGCATGATTTGCCCTTCCAGGTTTTGGGTTCAAGCGGTCTCTGGTAAATCTTTGTCCAGAAGGGGTCCCTTTGTACGACAGAGGCAGTTCCTGGTGTCTCACGTGGCCTCTTTGGAACTCGATCCACCACCCTGGTTATCTGGACTATACTATGGCCGGTCCTATCATTAGGCAGACTGAGTCAACTGCCGTGGGTGGCAGAAACGGAGAGAGAGCAGCAGACAGCCAAATTAGGCAAGACTGCCCTTTTCCCCTCTGTTCTCCTGCCACGTCTCTTTCGTGAACCCCTTCCTCCCATTGAGCGTCTCTCCTTCCACGTGATTCTTCCAGCGTCAGAGGCTGCTGGGGAAGGAAATGACCGGCCCAGCCAGAAATCTGAATGGATTTCTTGAAGAAGGCTTTTGGAACTGGGCTGTTGGTCACCGACTGGCCACCTACGTCTCCCAAACGCTGCTTCGGAGCAGGGCCAGGAGGACCTGTTGGACTTCAAATGCCATTAGCTTAGCTAAGCCTCGCCAAGAATGATGAGAGTTCGTTGTCCATCAATCTACTTTCTTGGATTGCCAGCATGGATGACTGGTGGATACTGGGACTTGTAGTCTAAAAAGTGCTGGTGTGTCAATGGCTAGAGGACAATGGGTTCTCCAGAGTTGTGTTATGCTTAATGGAAAACACAAAAGGAATAATATTCTTTTCAAAGCCCAACCTGATGTGGCGTCCCATCGAGCCGGCAACTCAAGATCTCCTTCTTGCAGCTGGCCAACAAGCTGCGGGTCAAGGCTAGTTGCTCCCATCCATCTGGACTCCATACAGATGGGACCAACTGGAGCATCCCAAATCTGAATTCCTCTGGGTGCAAAAAAAGCAACAAAAGATGAATTGGGACAAGGGTCATCAAGAGGGGTCTGGCTTGCTGGCTTCCTATCCTGTCCATGCAGCTGCGGACTAGAATCAATTCTGTCTGCTTGCATCATTCATAAATACAGGGGTATGTCCACATAACCGTAGCAAAAAGATTCCCCTAAAACCATCTCATCCCAAGCCCTGCAATTCAATGTTACATGATCTAGTCCCTGTGCAAAGATGGCTGGAAGCCTGCTTCATGCAAGGCAGCCCTTTCCAGACGGATCAAGTGGTGTTATCCTCGGTCAGCTCATGGCATCATTCATAAGCTGCTGTCCTGCCACAGAAAATCAATGCCAAGATGAATCCTCATCTGCTATCAGTGACCTGGCTCCTGTTACCCACAGAGTCTTGGTCTTATTT